TTATCTTATTTATTTTATTAAATTAATAGGTATATGGACTTGTAAATCACATATTTCTTTACTAGCTAATAATGTGATTAGTAAGGAATTAAACTTTTTTAAGATTTATATGATATCTAAATCACTTCGTCAGCTCTGCCTTCTATTAACAAAAGTTTAACTTAATTCGATGATCAATAAATATAATTATATATACAGCCTTATCTTATACCTATTGGTACAAATTTAGATATTAAGGTAGAATTTAGTTTTATTATATTATTAATAATCAACTATTTAATATTTTTTAGGTTACTGTGTAAACTAGTAGCGATGCATCTATTAGCAATACAAATACTTTATCTATTCCTTATGCGCTATCAAAACTTTAGATTCTGATTTAAAATGGAGCTAATATGCTTGTTGATTATAAAAACAATGTTACTCTTATTGGGTTCGCACGAGACTACGAAATTCAAGATCCTAACTCTCCACAAGGAATACAACTAAGTTGGCAATGCAAATCGTTGTAAGCATAAAATGGGGATGACTAATGTTACACTTATAAAAAGATAGTTTATGTGCCATAAAATACTTAGAATATTACAATCGATGGTGGTACTTTCAACCCTTATTAAACCCTCAGTTTCACTATTTAAGGATCGAAAGACTCTAGAACTTCTTAGAAAAGCTCGTTACTTATTTTCACAGAGATAGATCTTCCTCCTCTCTTAGTTGTATTTGATGACCCAAAATAAATAGAACAAATTAACATAAACGAAGATATTTCTGCAACTCTTATATATGGCTCAAATGTACCTTCGGACATTCTTACTTATGCTGGAGCAGTTCTATACAATAACTATGTTGTAGGAGTAATTAAATTTGATTACTATAAAGTTAAATTTAGAATTTGGGATTATTTTTCGAACATAAAAACAGATAATCTAATTGTTCAAGTAAGATTTACTGTATATAATCCTGAGAATATAATGCCTAGTTTAAGTGTTACAAACTTTAATATAAACTTGCCTCCTTAAAAATGCGTTCTTTCTGTTACTCCTTTAAGTGGTCAGGCTTTAACGACCTAATTTACCATTCAATTTAATGGTTGCACAGCCATTAATAATCTTTTAACTTACTAATTCTTCTATTATAACCAGACCTCTGATTTATAATAAGAAATCTAAATCCCTTAAAATATCCTAAGAAGATAATTAAAAGATCAGAATTCAGAATCCAAAATTATTACCAATCTCCCATCTGGTAATATAGTAATTATGGGTCAAGCTATGGATTCTTACTTAGCTGTCTTTAATACTACCATATAAGTGAACGTTTCTCCATTTTAGGAAAGTGAGTAGAAATTATTGAGTTTATTAGATTCAGCGCTTTAATAGAAAAGTACAAAAGTAAATTAAATAATTATCAATTTATGCGTTTTTGGTGAAGAAATAGCAAAGGACACTCCTCTTTTCAATCTAGACTCAGTTAACATAAAAAAATCGCTATTAGTTTAGGCAATTATAAACTAATCAAATATGCTTTCAAGTAATTCTTTTCTGTCTACTTACGCAAATAAAATTGTAGCAGCTCTTCAAGGTTCCATAACTACTTAGCATTAAACATAAAGCTAGAGCGTCCTTAATTAAATTAGCACAATTTTGCAAAACTCACAGCAAAAAATTGTAAATTAAGATAAAAATAATAAATTATTTAATAATAACGACATAATTCTTTAGAATTTGGTTGATTGTTTTAAAATATTGAACTCAACTACCCAAAGCACATCGTAAATACTTTAGTAGCTTAGTAAGAATAATGGTAAAAGACTTTTAAGAAGCTAAGAAGGTTATTCAAATACTATAGACGCTTTAAGAGCCCTTTCTTCTCCTTCATCACAAATTTTGTTGCAACAACAAATGGATTTATCAGACTAAATAGGAAATCTATTAAGCAACATTACCCTTCCCAACTAAGGAGACCTTTAATTACAAGGAAATTTAATCTCTATAAGCACAGAGTAAATAACATCTAAGAATCTTTAGAAATACATGTTCATTTAAACTTAGAATTAATAATAAAATGATTCAAATATTTATAATGTTGTCATGACAAGCTATTCTTCGAATCCATATATTTAAACTGATGGCTTTTAGTAATATATAACTTAAATTTAAAATACGACTCCTGGTATATAAATTTCTATAAATCCTATGGTAAAACCGTTTATCTAAAATTTAAATAATGTTTCTAGTTAAGAGCTTAATAATTCTTTTACTCTTTAATTTTAGAATATAAAACCATCAAAATATAATTTAACTTGCTTATAGCAATAATCTTAATCAAGCTGGAGTCATTAAGACTGTAATATGATTAAATCTACCCAAACTGGCTCATATACCTGCGTTTGTTAAAATCAAAAACCCACAACTATTATAGAAGATTTATAAGATCTTCTTGATAATAAAAATTTAAAAACTGCATTTGGCTAATAAGGAATATAAAATATTTCTAATTTTACAACATTCTACGAATATGCTGTATTTTGGATTCTTTGTTCAGTTACATTAATCTAAATAGGGCTCTGTATTTATGGTAATACACTAGATTCTAAGAATAAAATTGTATTTTTAGGATCTACATCAAAAATCAATCCAACATCTTTAGTAAAAATTGATAATTTTGAATAAAAAATTACAGATGAGTAATATCAAAGACAGCTACATTAATTAAAATAAGAATCCGATAAATTATAATAAAAGGAATCGACTGTTTTTATAAGTAATTTGCCATAAAAATAATAATCTCAAAGAGGAACGCAATCAAATATAAACATAAAAAGACTTGATTATGATTAACAAGAAAGTAAATTATTTGTTTAATAATAAGAAAAAGAAATAAAATATGAAAAAGTTTAGAATATTTAATCTTTATCTAATAACCATAGCATTTAAAGTATATATCTGAATTTAAAAGATAACAAATAGGAGTAAAAATTTGATTAATAGAACAACATTATTGAATAAGAGGATGTTAAAAAAACAAATAATATTGAAGATTAAAGTAAAGAATAATAAAATGATATAGTTAATACATTAAAAGGATAAAAAAATACTGAAAAATTAATGCAGACCTCATTGTTGAAAAAGCTATTAATTTTTCACAATTTTAGCAGTATTTTCTTTGTTTACAGTAATTAAGAATCTAGAGTACTAAGGTTTACCATTTTTTACATAAGAGTAATTCACTCATTAAGTATATCAACGATATTTGATTAACAGTACAACGATGAGTAGATTTTTATAGTTTCATTTATTAACTCTGTTATTCTGATAGCAAGTGTTACATTAATTAGATTTTTGTATAAATCTAGAAAAATATTTAAAATGATTGCTATTTTACTAATGATGGGTTTGCTTATCTTATATTATTACATCATTTTATCAATTGTTAGTGGTCAATCAAATGATTTCTCAAGTAAAAGGATATCATACTTTTTTATAATGTTTGGAGTAGATTTTTTCATCTTATCAACATTAATCTCAATATTTAACATATTTGCCTTTGTTAAAATAGTTTAGGAAACAATCAAAAACTAATTTATATTAAAATTATTAAGTTTATTATAAATATAAGATATTTTAGAAAATTTAGCTTTGTGATTTTCTTAATAAAAGTTTTATTTTTGTTTGTCTTTATATTAGTTTTAGATATGAACATTTAATGTGTTAATTTTTGTAATACATCAATCATTTAATTTTATCAGTATTAAGTAAGGTAAAATATGTCTAAAATGCATAAATATATGATTTTAATTATTAATTATCAAGGTTTTGATAAATTATCTAAGTTTTTATGATTTTTAAAAATATTAAAAATAATTTTAAATTGTAAATTTGAGAGATTTTTATAGAATTTGATACAAAAGAAAAATATAATATTGCAAAATACCATTCAACTACATATATTTAATTAATTAATTAATTATTTAGCTAAACTAAGTAGAATTAATACAATTCAAAAAGTAATTAAATAAATAAATAATAGAAAATAATATACTTGAATCCCGTGCATTTTTTACAAGCCCAGCTATTTAACACTCAATGAATAAAATTCAAATAATTTTTAAAAAAAAGAATAAATAAAAAACTATTATAAAAATAGATTAATAATTAATATAAAATTTTAAATATAATTTAAAAAATAATAAAAGGAACATTTTAATGGCTAAATTAAAAAAATTATTATTGATTATATTAATAAATTTGATATCCTATACATATAGTAAATTCTAGCATTTCAGGATTCGCTAGAATTCAATTCATGGAAATGAAAGCAATAGAAAATAGCAAAATTAAATAGTTTTCAGCTATTTCAAATCAATAAACAAAATAAATCAAAAGGAAATTAATTATTATTTTGAGAGATAAATTTTATACTTTAATAGTGAATCTTTTTTTAAAGATTACAATGAAACTCTTACTGAAATTCTCTTTATCCTATTTAAGAGTAAATTAAAAGAATCAAATTATAAAGAAAATTGATATTTCCTTTATATGAATTAAGGTTAGTTATATCCATATTACTTTATTTGATAAATAGAGATATAAAGAGCTATTTAAAATCAATAAACAAAACTAATCAAAAAGAAATTAATTGAAATTTAGCATTTTTACAAAACAATTATTTGAAAAATACTTCATTTTGTTTTAAAAAGCTAAAAGATTAAATTAGTAAAAACCAGTATTTAATTTTCATCAAATTTATTAACATTTTTTTACCAAAAATGCTAATATTTTGTAAGGATTATCTTTATTTTTTTTTAACACATTCAATTAAATATTTTATACAAATATTCATAGGCATTTTGCTCGCTTTAAGAATAGTCTAAGCATAAGATTGCTCATTCCTTCTCTCAAAGACTTAACCAACTACTGTGCCTTTGGGTAAATTTGAATTTCTAAAAACTATAAAAATAAGCATTAAAACTTAAATAAAACTAAGCTTACGAGTGCATAATGAGCTCATCTACAAATTTCGATTCTAATTACGTTTAAAATAAAAAAACATATAATTTAAGGTCATTTGACTAAGATAAAAATTTCGACATTGTATATTCTTATGTAAGATATCCTACATGTGCGGATCTTATTTAATCGCCGTATCTATAATTTAAAGGCTTAAACTTAGAGATTGATGGAGATAGCAAGGATTAGTATATATAAAATATATATATAAGCTATGATTTATATTGCGGCTAAAAACCTAATTAGTTTTAAATTTTTTCAGCTTGGAAACAAAATTAACAATACACTTATGTTTATAAATCTTAAGACTTGTCCTCCATGGAAAAGGATTCTTGTGAGTCATTCAAAATAAGTTTATTTGAAAATATGGATTTAACTATCTTACCTCAGAAATTTAGTTCAGCTTCGATTAATTTTAATGCCTATGATTCAAATAATAAGATGCTTTATACTTAACTATCAAATTTGTAGGTTCTCTTTTATTATGAAGTAAATTTATTGGTTTGCTTCATTTTATTACTATTTTATACTCCTACTTATTTTTTTAAGATAAATGTTAACAAAGTTCCACCTTATAATTTTATTCAGAACTTTATAAGTTAGTTTTTGTATTTTTCAAAATAAAATTAAGTTATTTTTGTTGTAATTTTAAACAATTTAGTTTTATTTTTTATCCATTTTAATAGCTACAAAGTTATTTTATTTGAAATGTGAATATATGATTAAGTCTTTGGTTTTATATTATTTAATAGTGTCCAATTGGCTGCAAGGGTTCTTGTCCTTAAAGGAATTGCCAAGATTGCTAAAGCGGCTACAATCTTAAAAATGGAAAATGTGTATTATAATGCCCTTAAAGCTAATACGCTTAATAAGATTAATCTTCAAAGTAATCTTGCTTGCCCTGCATTTCTAATTGCAATGAATGTGCTGATGGGAATACTTGTATAACTTGTGCTAATGGTTTTACCTACGCTTTCGTTAACGGCTAAAATATGTGTCATCCATCTTGTAGCTAATCTAACCAGTATATTGATACAACAGGTTAATGCTAAAATTGTATGTAATATTGCAGCAAATGCTCCTAAGCAAATAAATGTGACACTTGTTTATCAGGATTCACTTTGAGTGATTCATTCATTTGCTAATGTTAAGGTTTTTTCAACAGCAATAATCAATGTATTCCTTGTGCTCCTTCTTGCAAAACTTGTAGTGATAGCTCAATTACAAGTTGCAAATCATGTATAAATAATTACTATGCCGTTATAGATTATCAAAATTAGTCATTATTTTAATGTCTTTAAATATGCCCAAATAATTATTAGCTAATCAATAATACTTGTAAAAAATGTATTTAGACTATTTACAACAGCTGTTTTAATTGCCCTAGTACATGTAGATCTTGTTCTCCATCTTAGATTAACAAGTGTTAAGATTGTTATCCTGGGATGCATCTTAATAGTAATAGTTTATGCGAACCTTAGCCTTAACCTGGACTATAAATAGATAGTAGAAATCTCAACTTTTATTACTGTAGCTATAATAATGTAGCAGTTGTTTAGGCTAGTTTTTCAAACTCAAGCCCAAGATTAACTCTAGAATTTGGAATTAATTTAGTTTCAATAGCTGGATTTAATTGTAATTAAATATTTGACTCTGTTACGCTGAATCTCCTAGGCTCTAGTACATGCTCTATCAATTATTCATAAATAATTGTGACATTAAGTATATTTAATTAAATAATTCATTAAATATTAATGTATCAAATTTTTAAAAATAGGTTAGGATGCTAATTTAATGGTTAACTAAATTATAAGCATAACTACCACTGCTTAGGTACTTTAATTCTAAGGATTTAGTTCAAAAATTGATACGATTTATTTGATTTCTTATGTTTAAGAACCAGTTACTCCTTAAGTGAATGTTCTATATAATTAAATAGTAAATTCTTGTGATGACATCTAATTCTAAATTTAAAAACCACAAAATGATGCAGGAAGAGGTTTCTTAAGTTTATAATGGATATTATCTAATTCATAAGCTTTTAATTAAGAAACTTTGTAGAATTTAAATGGTATTATAAATAGCGCAAATACACTTCAAAGTTTAACTATACTAATCCCAAAATATACTCTTCCCATAAATACAAGTATAACAATTTAGCTGACCTACACTCTGAAAGTCTATTAAAGCAACAATTTGTCATTTACTACCAATAATTAATTAAAAAAGCAAATTATTATAAGTCAAGTTTAAAATAAATATCCTCCAATATTTAGGTAAATTAAAGCTAATTTTAATTATTTTAACAATAAAATTATTATTTAATGATTTAAAATAAAAATTTGAATAAAATTAATAAACTAATTTAATTCTAATTTATTTTATTTCACTTATTTCAAATTTCTCATTTTTTAAAAATAATTTTTTAGCGAATAAATATTTATGATTTTTTTTAAAAATATTGAATATAATTTTGTTCTTTATTAAATTTTTTTAAAATAATTTTTTTTTTTTATTACATTCTACCCCACCCAACTTAACTTAAATTTTAATTTCTTTTAAAGAAATATTTAAAAATATTTTTAAAAGAAAAATAAATAAATAATAAGTAGAAAAATAATATCCAGTTAATTTTTTGTTAAATTAATTTTTTATCTTATTTATTTTATTAAATTAATAGGTATATGGACTTGTAAATCACATATTTTTTTACTATTTAATAATGTGACAAGTAAGGGATTCACTATTTATAAGATTTGTTTGATATCTAAATCACTTCATTAGCTCTGCCTTCTATTAGCAAAAGTTTAACTTAATTCGATGATCAATAAATATAATTATATATACAGCCTAATCTTATACCTGTTAGTACAAATTTAGATATCAAGGTAGAATTTAGTTTTATTATATCATTAATTATTAAATATTTAATATTTTTTAGATTACTGTGTAAACTAGTAGCGATACATCTATTAGCAATACAAATACTTTATCTATTCCTTATACCCTATCAAAACTTTAGATTCTAATCTAAAATGGAGCTAATATGCTTGTTGATTATAAAATCAATCTTACTTTGATTGGATTTGCAAGAGATTACGAAATTTAAGATCCTAACTCTCCACAGGAAATACAACTAAGTTGGCAATGCAAATCGTTGTAAGTATAAAATGGGGATAACTAATGCTACACTTATTAAAACAAAGTTTATGTACCATAAAATACTTAGAATATTACAATAGATGGTGGTACTTTCAACCCTTATTAAACCCTCAGTTTCACTCTTTAAGGATCAAAAGGCTCTAGAACTTCATAGTATAGCTCTTTACTTGTTTTCACCGAGATAGATCTTCCTCCTCTCTTAGTTATATTTGATGACCCAAAATAAATATAACAAATTAATATAAACGAAGATATTTCTGCAACTCTTATATATGGCTCAAATGTACCTTCGGACATTCTCACTTATGCTGGAGCAGTTCTATACAATAACTATGTTGTAGGAGTAATTAAATTTGATTACTATAAAGTTAAATTTAGAATTTGGGATTATTTTTCGAACATAAAAGCAGATAATCTAATTGTTCAAGTTAGATTTACTGTATACAATCCTGAGAATATAATGCCTAGCTTAAGTGTTACAAACTTTAATATAAACTTGCCTCCTTAAAAATGCGTTCTTTCTGTTACTCCTTCAAGTGGCCAGGCTTTAATGACCTAATTCACTATTCAATTTAATGGTTGCACAGCCATTAATAATCCTTTAACTTACTAGTTCTTCTATTATAACCAGACCTCTGATTTAAAATAAGAAATCTAAATCCCTTAAAATATCCTAAGAAGATAATTAAAAGATCAGAATTTAGAATCCAAAATTACTACCAATCTCCCTTCAGGTAATATAGTAATTATGGGTCAAGCTATGGATTCTTACTTAGCTGTCTTTAATACTACCATATAAGTGAATGTTTCTCCTTTCTAGGAAAGTGAGTAGAAATTATTGAGTTTATTAGATTCAGCGATTTAATAGAAAAGTACAAAAGTAAATTAAATAATTATCAATTTATGCGTTTTTGGTGAAGAAATAGCAAAGGACACTCCTCTTTTCAATCTAGACTCAGTTAACATTAAAAAATCCCTATTAGTTTAGGCAATTATAAACTAATCAAATATGCTTTCGAGTAATTCTTTTCTGTCTACATACGCAAATAAAATTATAGCAGCTCTTCAAGGTTCCATAACTACTAAATATTAAACATAAAGTTAGAGCGTCCTTAATTAAATTAGCACAATTTTGCAAAACTCAGAGCAAAAAATTGCAAATTAAGACAAAAATAATAAGTTATTTAATAATAATGACATTATTCTTTAGAATTTGGTAGATTGTTTTAAAATATTGAGCTCAACTACCCAAAGCATATCATAAATGCTCTAGTAGCTTAGTAATAATAACGGTAAAAGACTTTTAAAAAGTGAAGATGATTATTTAAAATCTATAGACGCTTTAAGAGCACTTTCTTCTCCTTCATCTCAAACTTTATTGCAACAACAAATGGATTTATCAGACTAAATAGGAAATCTACTAAACAAGATTACCCTTCCCAACTAAGGAGAGCTTCAATTACAAGAATTACAAGGAAATTTAATCTCAATAAACACAGATTAAATAACATCTAAGAATCTTTAAAAATACATGTTCATTTAAAACTAGCCATAATAATAGGATTCAAATATATTTAATGTTATCATGACAAGCTATTCTTCGAATCCTTTTATTCAAACTGATGGCTTTTAGTAATATATAACTTAACTTTAAAACACAACTCCTGACATATAAGTTTCTATAAATCCTGTCGTAAAACCGTATATCTAAAATTTAAATAATGCCTCTAGTTAAGAGCTTAATAATTCATTTACTCTTTAATTTTAGAATATAAAACCATCAAAATATAATTTAACTTGCTTGTAGTAATAATCTTAATCAAACTGGACTCAATAAGACTGTAAACTGATTGAATCTAGTAAAACTGGCTCCTTTACTTGTCTTTGTAAAAATCAAAAACCCACAACTATCGCAGAAGATTTATAAGATCTTCTTGATAATAAAAATTTAAAAACGGCATTTGGTTCATAGGGAATATAAAATATTTCTAATTTTACAACATTCTATGAGTATGCTGTATTTTGGATTCTTTCTTCAGTTACATTAATATAAATAGGACTCTGCATTTATGGTAATACACTAGATTCTAAGAATAAAATTGCATTTGTAGGATCTATGACAAAAATAAATCCAATATCTTTAACAAATTTTGATAATTTTGAATAAAAAATTACAGATGATTAATATCAAATACAACTACATTAATAAAAATAAGAATCTGATAAATTGTAATAAAAGGAATCGACTGTTTTTATAAGTTACTTGCCATAAAAATAATAATCTTAAAGAGGAACGTAATCAAATATAAACCTAAAAAGACCTGATTATGATTAATAAGGAAGTAAATTATTTGTTTAATAATAAGAAAACGAAATAAAATATTAAAAAGTTTAGAATATTTAATCATTATCTGATAACCAAAGCATTTAAAGTATATATCTGAATTCAAAAGATAACAAATAGGAATAAAAATTTGATTAGTAGAACAACATTATTGAATAGGAGAATGTTAAAAAAACAAATGATATTGAGGATAAAAATAAATAAAGTAAAGAATAATAAAAAGATATCGTTAAAATATTAAAAGGATCAAAAAATACTCAAAAATTAATGCAGACCTCATTTTTGAAAAAAATACTAATTTTTCACAATTTTAGCAGTATTTTCTTTGTTTACAGTAATTAAGAATCTCGAATGCTAAGGTTTACAATTTTTTACTTAAGAGTAATACATTCATTAAGTATATCAACGATATTTGATTAGCAGTATAATGAAGAGTAGATTATTATAGTTTCACTTATTAACTCTTCTATTCTGATAGCAAGTGTTACTTTAATTAGATTTTTGTATAAATCTAGAAAAATATTTAAAATGATTGCTCTTTTGCTAATGATAGGTTTGCTTACATTATATTATTACATCATTTTATCAATTGTTAGTGGTCAATCAAATGATTTCTCAAATAAAAGGATATCTTACTTTTTTATAATATTTGGAGTAGATTTTTTCATCTTATCTACATTAGTCTCAATATTTAACATATTTGCCTTTGTTAAAATAGTTTAGGATGCAATCAAAAACTAATTTATATTAAAATTATTAAGTTTATTATAAATATAAGATATTTTAGAAAATTTAGCTTTGTGATTTTCTTAAATTTAATTTTTATTTTTATTTGTCTTTATATTAGCTTTAGATATGAAACATTTAATGTGTTAATTTTTGTAATACATCAATTATTTAATTTCATCAGTATTAAGTAAGATAAAATACATCTAAAATGCATAAATATTTAGTCGTAATATTAATTATCAAGTTTTTTATAAATTATCTAAAATTTTATGATTTTCAAAAATATTAAAAATAATTTTAATTAATGATAATATTAAAATATTGATGAGATTTATGGATTTTATGAATCTAAATAAACGACTCCTGGTATATAAATTTCTATAAATCCTGTGATAAAGCCCTCTATCTAAAATATAAACAATACCCCAAGTTAAGGGCTAAATAATTCTCTTACTCTTTAATTTTCGAATATAAAACCATCAAAATATAATTTAACTTGCTTGTAACAATAATCTTAATCAAAATGGACTCAATAAGACTGTAAATTGGTTTAATCTACCAATAGTGGCTCATATACATGTGTTTGCTAAAATCAAAAACCCACAACTATTACAGAAGATTTATAAGATCTTCTTGATAATAAAAATTTAAAAACTGCATTTGGCTCATAGGGAATAGAAAATATTTCTAATTTTACAACATTCTACGAGTATGCTGTATTTTGGATTCTTAGTTCAGTTACACTAATCCTAATTGGACTCTGCATTTATGGTAACACTATAGATTCTAAGAATAAAATTGAATTTGCAGGATCTATGACAAAAGTCAATCCAACATCTTTAGTAAATTCTGATAATTTTGAATAAAAAATTACAGATGAGTAATATCAAATGAAACTAAATTAATAAAAATAAGAATCGGATAAATTATAATAAAAGAATTCCGTTGTTTTTATAAATTACTTGCAATAAAAATAATAAACTTAAAGAGTAACGCAATCAAATATAAACCTAAAAAGACCTGAAGATGATTATCAAGGAAGTAAATTATTTGTTTAATAATAATAAAGTGATATAAACAACCAAAAAGTTTAGAATTTGTAGTCTTTATCTGATAACCAAAGCATTTAAAGTATAAATCTGAATTCAAAAGATAGTAAATAATAATACAAGTTAGATTAATAAAACAACATTATTGAATAGATGAACAATAAAAAAACAAATAATATTGAAGATTATAGCAAATAAAATAAAGAACAATAAGAAAGTATTGTTGATATATTACAAGGATCAAAAAACACTCAAAAATTAATGAAGACCTCTTTCTTGAAAAAGATATTAATTTTTCACAGCTTTAGTAGTATTTTCTTCGTTTACAGTAATTAAGAATCTAGAGCACTAAGACTTACCATTTTTTACATAAGAATAATCCACTCATTAAGCATATCAACGATATTTGATTAATAGTATAATGAAGAATAGATTTTGCTAGTTTCACTTATTAACTCTGTTATCCTGATAGCAAGTGTTACATTAATTAGATTTTTGAATAAATCTAGAAAAATATTTAAAACGGTTGCTTTTTTGCTAATGATAGGTTTGCTAATACTATACTATTATATCATTTTATCAATTGTTAGTGGCCAATCAGAGAATTTCTCAAATAAAAGGATATCCTCCTTTTTTATAATGTTTGGGGTAGATTTCTTGATCTTATAAACATTAGTCTCAATAATTAACATATTTGCCTTTGTTAAAATAGTTTAAAATGCGATTTAAAATAAATTTATATTAAAATTATTAAGTTTATTATAAATACAAGATATTTTAGAAAATTTAACTTTGTGATTTTCTAAATAAAAGCTTTATTTTTGTTTGTTTTTATGTTAGTTTTATTACTTAGCAAAAAGAATTGAAAATTTTTTTAGATAATTGAATTTGGTTTTGTAGAAGATTAATTAACAAATTCTATTAGATATAATAAATTTAGCTCTTTAAATTTTTAAATTGAAAAATAATATATTTTTATATACCATATATTTTTTAATATATTAAGGAGTTAGTGTTGAAAAATACTTGAAAAAAATATGTATTAATTAATTAAACGATTTGCATTTTTCTAGAATATTTAGAGAACATTTTTTTATATAAAATAAGATAAGCATTTTAAAATTTATAATTCCACATTAATAAAAAATTATAAAAATTCTTGATATGAAATAAGCTTTTTAAAGCCAAATTCAACATTAACAACTTTTAAATTGATTAATTTACTCTAAATATTATTGAATAAAAAAATTAAATTTGTAAAATCTGAATGAATAAATGATAATTTAATAAACAATTATTTTATGATTTTTAAAAATATAAAATGATAAAAATGATAATAAGATAAATTAAAAATTTGAGAAAAAAAAACAAAAATAAACATTATAAACAAAAAAGTTAAAATAAAAAGTAAAACTTGATTTCTCCCTGAGGTTTTATTTAAATCATGACATCTAATTAATCAAGATAAATAAAAAAGGATAAAAAATATGATTGAAACATAATATTTAAGATTAAAATAGAACTGGCATATAAAGTTTGGTATTTATATAATTTAATAAGATGTAAAAAAACACTAAAAGTTTCAAATTGTTTGATCGTTTTTGGAGAAACCAGAGAGTTTGCTTAAGAGCATTTATTTTTTATTTTTTATAAATAATTTATTTACTTACAAAAATATGAATGATATTTATAAATATAAAATCAATAATAAAATCTATTTATATTTATATTTTAGGTTTAAATTTTTTTCAAAATATTATATAATAAAATATATAATATTATTCAAACATTTTATATTTATTCATCCTTTTTTCATCAGTTCT